GGGTAGAATACGATGTAGAATACAAAACATCTGATTTAAACTTGAAAATAGCTAATCGCCAAAACCTACAAACAATATGCAACCGAAGGAACCAAAACCAAGATCAAACTAACGAACCACAAATTCCTCCTATTGTATAAGGTCTACCTATCCAATCTTAAAGATCTAGGATTCTAACTCCGGCAAGACAGCAGCACACATAAGTACCACGAATGAGCTTTCAGAGACGGCGAAGTCAAACACGACCGTTAAAACGCCTCGATTAGAACCCAAAAGAAAGACCAGCTCTCGAACTGATCTGAAGAGTAGCGACAAGGAGCGAAATATAAACTAGCCGGATGGAGCTAAGAGCAGCGAACTAAAATCAGCGACATAACGAGACCGACTAGAACCCAAGGCTGGTTACAAACGAAAGAGATCAGCAGGAAATGATAAAAAATATCTAGAAACAAACTCATACCAGATCTTAACCAGATGAAATCCACACATAACTAAGACAAAAACGAAAGGACCAAATACGGGACCAACAAGACCTAGCAAGAACAGAGAGGCTGAAACCGACTCATATAACCGAAGACGAAGCCTACTAAGCTTGCGAAAACCAGAGATCAGCACACGTCTAAGACCGATAAAACCATCACAAGAACTACTAAAAACAAACACAAAAAACTAAATTCCAGGCCATATTCGAGAAGCACTAAACGAGAGCCCCAAATCCAGAAGAGAGACGGTCTGTGAGCCAGGAGATCACCCACCCCGGCAAGAAGAGCATGGTCTAGATCGGAAAAGTGTAAATCTGAAACGCAAGAACAACTCTCTCGTGCATAAGGACCGTGCACCACCGCTTTATAGGTACAACAAAGACTTTGCCACAAGTCACCGTCAAGCGTCCGGACCACACCCGATTCACCACCGGAGCCTCCATCGCCGATCTAGCAAACCAAGCCACCGGACCAAAACCCCTCTTCAAGACTACGAACCAACGCCAAAATGGAAAAGAAAAGGAAAGGAGCCCCGCACCGGTGCTAACGGAGCTACCGGTGCGGTCAAATCGGAGATTGGACGAAAAAACCTTCGGAGAGAAATCACCTTCTCGCTCTCACCTGTTTTGTGTCATATGCCGTCACTCTATTAAATCAAATCTCTATAATTAATCATATAAAAAATAGGGAAAAAAACTCATTTGACTCATAAATATGTTTTT